AATCCTACTTCCGTAGTGATACTGCCTCGGAAACCCAAGGAGGGGTCACTATGAGTCGGGGCCGACTTGACGGCACATAACAACAACAACAACAACAATCACTGAGCATGATCAAAGGATGAGTGGGAGTAACCAGGCAAAGAGGGTGGGAACAGCACATGCAAATAACCAGACACTGGAAGCAGTTCCTGTTGCTCCACAGAGTGAAAGAAGGTAAGAGATGCAGCAGAGAGCAACAAATGGTCTTCGTCTTTTTTTTCCTACTTTTATTTATTTTGTTGTTGTTGTTGAGAATATTCACAGCAAATGTGTCCACCAATTTAATGGTTTCTACATGTAGAATTCAGTGACACTGATTACATTCTTTGAGTTACCAACCACTCTCACCCGCCTTTTCTGGGTTGTTTCTTCCCCATTAACGTGAACGCACTGCCCCCTGAGATTCCTATCTAATTTTTCCAGTTGCTGTTGTCAATGCTAATCCTTTTTGATCATTTTTCAGGGATTCTAAAGTATTTTCATTCTTTTTCTTAGTTGTCTGTATTTCCAAGGTGGCCTAAAAGAATATGTATGACTTTGATAATCAGAAGAAAAGGAATATTTGTGAAAGAGTAAGATGACTTTATGACCCCACTCTACCCTCTTTAAGGAGCTCTGGTAGCATAATGCCTAAGGCACTTGCCTACTAACCAGAAGGCTGGTGGTTCAAACCCACCAGCCACTCCTCGGAAGGAAGGTTGAGCAATCTACTTCTATAGTGATACCACCTCAGAAACCCAAGGAGGGGTCACTGTAAGTCAGGTCCGACTCGACAGCACATAACAACAACAACAAATACCCTCTTTGATCATATGCTCCTCCTGGTATTGTCAAGAACCAATGGTATTGAACGAAGAAGTCCAAGCTGCACAAGCCTCCAGGAACTGATGGAAAATGAATGCAACATTGAAAGGAGTCACTCATTTATGCCAAGAAATTTGGAAGACAGCTGCTTGGCCAGTTGACTGGAAGAGATCCATATATGTGCCCAGTTCAAAAAAAGGTGATCCAATAAAATGCAGAAATTATTGAATAATATCATTAATATCACATCTAAGTAAAATATTGCTGACAATAATGCAAAAATGGTTGCAGCAGTACATAGGCAGGGAACTGCCAGAAATTCAAGGCAGAAGACGACATGGAATGAGGGATATCATTACTGATGTCACATGAATCTTGCCTGAAAGGAGAGAATACCAGACAGATGCTTACCTATGTCTTATTGACTATGCAAAGGCATTCAACTGTGTGGATCATAACAAACTATGAATAATATTGAGAAGAATGGAAATTCCAGAACACTTAACTGTGCTCATGAAGAACCTGTCCATAGACCAACAGACAGTCATTCAACCAGAGCAAGGGGATACTGCATGGTTTAAAATCAGGAAAGGTGTGTGTCAGGGTTGTAGCATTTCAGCATTCTTATTTAATCTGTATGCTGGGCAAATAATCTGTGAAGCTGGACTATATCAAGAAAAACTTGGTGTCATGATTGAAGGAAGTCTCATTAACAAGCTACAATATACAGATGACACAACCTTGCTTGCTGAAAGGGAAGATGATGTGAAGCACTTACTGATGAAGATCAAAGACTTAAAAGGAAAGGTTTATACATAGAAGGAAATTTTCTTTGTTGGTTACCAGGGATGGGAGGAGAGGGGAGGCTAAATTTCTAGATAGGCTGAAAAAATAAATATACATACATACATACATGCACACACAAATATACAAGTATATATGTATGTATATATGCATGTGTGTGTGTGTGTATACCAAAGATTATTAGTGGCTACCAGGGGTGGGGGGTGGGGGAAGCTTTTGTTTGCAGGGTATTGAGCTTATGGTGGAATATTTTGGAAAAGGATAGAAATAATGGTGGCACAACATGAAAAATGTCAGCAATGTCTCTGAGCTACAGATGGAGAAGTTGTAATGTCAGCGAATGTCTTGTGTATGTTTTCACTATAATAAAAGTTAAAGTAATAAACATGAAGATCAAAGACTTCAGTAGGGGTTACACCTCAACATAATGAAAACAAAAGTCCTCACAACTGGACCAATAAGCAGCATCATGATAAATGTAGAAAAAATTGACGTTGTCAAGTGTTTCATTTCACTTGGATCCATAATCCATGCCTATGGTAGCTGAAGTCAAAAAATCAAATGACATGTTACATTGGGCAAATCTGCAGCAAAAGATGTCTTCAAAGTGTTAAAAAAACACTTTGAGGATTAAGATGTGCCTGACCCAATCAATGGTATTTTCACTTGCCCTATATATATGCAAAAGCTAAACAACAAATAAGGAAGACCAAAGAATTGATACATTTGAAGTATGGTATAGGCAGAGAACAATGAATACACCATGGACTGCCAAATGAATGAGCAAATCTGTCTTGGAAGAAGTACAGCCAGAACGCTCATTAGAAATGATGATGGCAAGTCTTCATCTCTTGTACTTTGGTCACATTATCAGGGAGGACCAGTCCCTGGAGAAGAATATCATGCTTGGTAAAGTAGAGTGTAGGTGCTCTGGTGGCGTAGTACCTAAGGCATTTAACTACTAACCAGAAGCCTGGCGGTTCAAACCCACTGGCCACTCCTGGGAAAGAAGATTGGGCGATCTACTTCCATAGTGATTCCAACTTGGAAACCCAAGAAAGGGTCACTACGAGTTGAATCAACTCGACGGCAGTGAGTTTGGTTTGGTTTGGTTGATAGCAGAGCGTCAGTGGAAAAGAGGAAGACTCTCAATGAGATGGGTTAACACAGTGGCTTCAACCATGGGCTCAACCACAGCAATAACTTAGGATGGCGCGGGACGGGACAGTGTCTTGTTCTGTTGCACACAGGGCAGTTATGAGTCGGAACTAACTCAAAAGTACCTAACAACAATAACAACACACCCTCTTTAAGGAGCCCCAGTGACACAGTGGTTAAGCACTCGGCTGCAAACTGAAAGGTCTGTGGTTTGAACCCACCAGCCAATCCTCAGGAGAAAGATGTGTCAGTCTGCTGCTCCCGTAAAGATTACAGCTGCTGCTCCCGTAAAGATTACAGCCTGGGAAACTTGATGGAGCAGTTCTACTCTATCCTGTGACATAGGGTTGCTGTGAGTTGGAATCAAATCAGTATATATATATATATATATATATATATATATATACACACACACACACACACACACACACCAAACCCCCACTGCAGCTGAATATATTGAACATATATGGTGTGCTAGTAGAGGTGTAGTGGATGAGGTCAGCAGTTCAAATCTATCAGACACTTCATGGAAGGAAGGTGGGGCAATCTACTTCCATAGAGATTTACAGCCTCAGAAACCTAATGGGAGTCACTATGAGACATAATCGACTTGATGGCAGTGAGTTTTTGAGTATATATATGTGTGTGTATGTATGTGTGTACCTTCTTTTTCCACTAAGAGCTGTGGTGGCACAATAGTTAAAGCTACTGCTAACCAAATGGACTGCAGTTTGGACCCACGAGCCATTCCACTGGAGAAAGATGAGGCAATCTGCTTCTGTAAAGAGTTTGCAGCCTTGGAAACTCTATGGAATAGTTCTACTTTGTCTGATAGGATCTCTATGAGTTGGAATCAACTCAATGGCAGTGGGTTTGGTTTGGTTGGTTGTTTTCCACTTGCCTTCTTCTTGGCAAAGCTTACAGAGTATTAACAAAGGTGTCTTGCTTCTAGGGCTTACACTAGGTGCCGGCCTCAGCCTGGCCCAGGTGAAGGACATACTGGCTGATGTGATCTGGAAGCTCCCAGAAGAGAGGACACAGACATACCGGGCTCTCTTGAAACATCTGAGAACGCTGGCTGGACAACAGATAAGGAACATGGCTGTATGTTCTCTTTGCCTACCCTCTGGATGTGGCTACTTCAGTGAGAAAGGCTGTATCATTCACAGCTTGTGCTGTTTCCTAATGTATCCGTCTGTGTCTTCACATGCCTAAACTGGGTGGCTTTCTTCACTTCAGACCTTGAGTTAAAAGCCATGTTAGTGAACAAGTTTCAAGGGAGAGGTGATACCTTCCTAGCCTGCCCACCTATAACCCCAGAATTTTGGCTGTAATTGTTCATAAAGGATCTATCCAGTCCAGAAAATTCTATCTTCAACAGTACCCAAAGAGATTCTTCAACTTTTTACATTATGAAGATAACTAATGGGTTTATAGGGGAATAACTGATCTTGTAATAAACAGAAATGAATGCCATATGATTGACTCAACCCATTAGGATAATTGTATAGCATAACAACTATACTATATGTCATAGGCACAAAATATAATGCCCAGGTAAATAACTATATAACTAACATACAGCAGAAATGATCCTTCTTAACTCTCAGTCCCTCTGTGTGAAAGAATTGTTGGATCTTCTCTATCAGTCCTGTCTAAATCCTGTTCTTTGGTTAATGTGCCTTTGTGTATCTGCTGGCCTCCTTTGGATGCTGTGAGGTTCACACTCTAGACTACCCTCATAGAATGATTGCATCTTTATGTGAGGCCCTTTGACCAAAGAGAGTGATCTCAGGCGTCCTAGCTGCAAGTTCTTCCCCAAAGTCAATTCTTCAATTATGGAATCCTCATCAGCTGCCATTCCAGGAAGCATCTTCCCCAGACATGGGTTGTTACTGTGTGTTGGTCACAGGACATCTCTCCTCTGTCCTTCTTGACATCTGAATCTTGCTTTGCCTGTCAGCCCTCTGCAGCTATGGGAAGAGTTTTAATAGTACCTGTCTGGGAGGATATTAACCTGTCCCATACTGGGGATGCCAGTGTCTCAGGGACACTGCCTGGTCCCCTCTTTCAAATGTTCTCTGTCTCAGCTCCTACCTCGCCTCACATCTTTACCCCACACATACATGCTGCAAGTACCCAAGCTTATTCCATTTGACTATTTCTTGTCTATTATCATGCAAACTATACATACATAGTTTCAGAATGAATTTTCCGCTTATACATCATAATTTGAAACCTCTGTAAATCAAAAATTAGAAGTGGTAGACCGAAGTAATTTTCTCTATTGGTTTTCATAGTTTGTTTTATAAGGACATAAAGAAATTAGAGCTTCCTCTAAAACACTTCAGAATTTGCACGAAAATCTTACATCCATGCCTACATTTTTTTATTCTAATTTCCTCATTGGATTGCAAAGAAATACTGTGTATTTCACCACTTCTCATAATAAAAGCCCTGAAGTTGCTGATTTCTCTTTTTTTCAGTCCTTAGGAGGTCATATTATCAGCAGACTTTCTACTTCTGATCTCAACCCCATTTTGGGTGTAGGCAATTGCATCCTCAACATTGCTTGTATAGGTGAGTTACAGAATTCTCTTGTAAATACTGATGTCAGTTTTATAAACATAGTGAACACAGAATTGGGGCATAATATGAACTCCTCATATAAATCATTGAGTATAGTGCTAACTGTATATCAACATGCTATGAGGATAATAGGTGGAAAAGAGACATTTTTGGTAAACAGGAAACAATAATGAAAACTTGTCTTTGTTCTTATCTATTCATTATCAGTAGATAAAACACATTATCAGTGAAGAAAACCAAAGACTTGTGGAAACAATTAGTCCAAGTGACTGATACACCATGTGATCTTCCACCTATATAACCATGAGACCAGAAGAACTAGATGGTGCCCGGCTACCACTGTCAACCATTTAGAGGGGGATGTATGTAGGAGATCCTGGATAGAGTGGGAGAACAATGTGGAACAAAATTCAAAATCATAATAAAAAGGGAGGAGGGACACCAGGTTTGCTGGTCTGATAGAGCCTGATAGAACACATGAGACTATGACCCTTAGCTGCCCTTTAGGTCTGGAATTGAACCCACTCCTGTGGCTTCCAGCCAAACAAGACAGGCATATGAGCTGAACATTTACATTAGGTAGATGTATTCCTTGGAGAAATTAATCATAGGAGAATAGAAGGGCTGTGTATGAACAAGGAGACAGCTCCGGGGCAGGAATGCATGGGAAGGAAGGACACAGGGAAGAGGTAACTATGAGCAGGAGGTGGGATGGAGCTGTTGCATTGTGGGAATTTGCAGGCAATGTCATGACATACATGCAAAGTATATGTGAGCAGCTGTGTGGAAAATGAATTTCTTCTGTAAATTTTCACCCAAATCACAATGAAAATTAAAAATAAAAAAAAGAAAAGAAAACCACATTATCAGTAGATAAAAAACTTGAAATAAGTTTATGATTAGTGTTATATATCAAGACTATAGTGTAATGGAGTAGAGTTTATTTTAGAAGCCGAATGTATTTCAATAGCTTTATGACAACAACAACAACATGAATTACTTTTGTCCTGAATGTATAGATTCAGAACATGAAGGGATCATTTATATTTGTTAAGCATATACAGTATCAGCACCAGTTACCTTCACGTTAGTTCTGCCTCCTGGCAAACCCAGGTGTGTCAGGATACAACCGTCCCCCACAGAGTTTTCAAGGGCTGATTTTTTGGGAGTTTTGATTGTCAAGCCTTTCTTCCAAGGTGCCTCTGGGTCAGCTCCAACTGCCAGTCTTTCTGTCAGCAGCCAAACATGTTAACTGTTTTTACCACTCACCTCATCTGAAAAAAAAAAAAAAAAAAAAAAAACTCACTGCCATCAAGTCAATTCTGACTCATAACAACCCCTTATTGGTTTCCAAGGCAGTAAATCTTTATGGAAGTAGATTACCCTGTCTTTCTTCCACAGAGCGGCTGGTGGGTTTGAACTTCCAACCTTCTGGTCAGCAGTCAAATCCCCTAGGCACTGTGCCACCAGAGTTCCTTTTTTTACCACCCAAGGATTCTTTTAAGTGCATATGTTGGTACATTCTGTGGGGAAAAAAAAATGTATAAGCCATAATGGAATCCCTAAGAGGATTCATGAGGGTCATAAGGCATCTTTCATGGTGTTATGGGCCTATTGAATATAAAATATGTCATTTCATGCTGACCTTGTCGAGTAAATTTTCTTGAAAGGAAAGTTCCATCAGAACTGGGCTGGGAAAGTGGCCCTTACGTGTTGAAACTGAAGACAAACAGCACTTGTTGGTTTACAAACTATACAAGAAAGATCAGTCTCTTTTTCACTTGACTTTAGACCAAAAAGTGTATTAGCTAATTTGGTCCACTGTCTTACCCTTCAAGCTGGCTTCTGAATGTCTCTTACCTCATATCACAAATCAAGCCCCCCTTCAGAGGGTAAAGATTTATCACCTTTGAGGCCACAGACTTTGAAAGAACATCCCCTAAAGAGTTTTCAAAATGTCTTTAAGAGGACAGCACTATTGACATAAATGTATAACCTTTCCCAAGATGACTACTTCAAGGGGAACACCATTTACTTGTACATATATGTTTCAGGATTTTTGTTCAAAAGAATTACATGACTTGATAGCTGTGTGTCCTTTATTGATGTTACCGTTGTCATTTGTACTTCACTTGTCAATGCCATTGTTCTCATGTGCAATATACCCATGTTTACCATCTTTCCAGTCCAGCTCTTCCAATTCACCCCACAAAACTCCCTCCCACAACACACCCATCTGTCTGTCTTTGTTACCATATTTGCTCATGGGTTCAGGTCATTCTGCCCTACAAATTTCACATTGTCACCTTGGCACACTGTCTCCTATAAGCTGGAGGAGCTCTTCTCTGTTATTAGCACAGGCAGAAGACAGCTTTTCCAAGGCAGGATCCTAATAGATCTTTTCAACTTATTTACATCTAAATATCACAGACCATTCAATAGTTATGATATTATGCATGACTTCAATTTCACTTTAGAATATATTTTTATAATAAAAATACTACTGGATTTTATAACATACAAAGTCACTTCAACAATACACAATACTGTTAAATGAAATGATTTTTTTTTTCCTTACAGAAGGAACACAGCAAATTCCTTTAAACAGTCATTTTCTTGCGGGAACAGCACATGCAAATCTTAAACCAGAACAAGTCCTAGTGTCTGTTTTCATTCCTGTCTCTAAAAAGGTATGAGATTACGAACTTCATGGTATCTGCTTTTATCGGCTTGATTTGCTTGCTTTATTTATTTACTTTATTGTGGTGAAAATATATACAACAAAGCATTCACCGATTTAACAATCACTAAATGTATAATTCAGTGACATTAATTATATCCTTCATGTTGTCAGCTGCTTTTGTCTTATCCTGAATTAAATTAGACATAAGAAAAACAAAACTTCCAGCAAATATTTTATACATGCCTAGGTACAAACGATAATGACAGAATAGACTTCAATTTGCTTCACAAGAGAACTTTAATATGTGGAATTATTTTCATTTTTTTTTCTTCAAATGCTCTAAAAACCTAGGATTCTTGGACTCATATCATTGAAAACAAAACAAAACAATAATCTTATTATATGGATGAAAATACTGACGTCCAAAGGAGTGTGATTATTGCATCAGGGCTTCACAGTGAATGGGTGGCAGACCCAGGAACAAACCCATGATTAGCCTCAGATGCGTTGAGTAGAATAAAGAATAACTTACAAACCTTTCATTTTCACCTTACTTTCCAAGATTTATGTTTTCTTCAAATTGCAAAACTACAAAGAAATGGGCAAGGAAACAACTAAGTTCTGGTTAAACTAAGATAGTGCTAGCACATGAGGAACTCATGTATTCATTGACTAAGAAAATGTGGCTTTGACTTGCTTTCTGTTTAACTTTAATGTCTGTATGCCAAATGGAGAAACATGGACAAGTGTGAGTGACACTATGGTCTCTCGGTTCTGGAGTGCCAGAGCAGTTCAACCAATCAATGAAAACCGGTTGCCCTTGCCGGGACGCTGAAGAACATCACTCTCATTTCATTCTCACCTTCCTACAGTGTAATTTAGGAAAGTCTACTAGTACTATATGAGCACAATAAATAATCATCACCATTTACCAAAAACATTGCTAAGTGTCCACCAAAAACAAAACAAAACAAAAAGCAGTTGCTGTGGTGTCAATTCCAACTTACAGTGACCCACGTGCATCAGAGGAGAACTGGCCGCCATAGGGTTTTCAGTGACAGACTTTTCTCAGAAGCAGGTAGATCACCTTGCCTTTGCATGGATTTGAACTCCCAGCCTTTTGGTTAGCAGCCAGTTATTGCTAGATACCCTCCAGTGCTGATGTTTTCAATTTTGAGTTCAAAACCAGACAAATAGTTGAATAAATTAGGGAAAGTACAAAATTAAATGAAGATTTCTATTGTTAATTTAAGGAGTACGGGTAGAATACTGGTTAAAGCACTCAGCTGCTAACCAAAATGTCAGCAGCTCAAACCCAGTTGCTCTGCAGGAGAGAGATGAGGCAGTTTGCTTCAGTAGAGATTTATAGCCTTAGAAACACTATGGGCAGTTCTACTCTGTCCTGAAGTGTCACAATGAGTCAGAATCGAGTCGATGGCAGTGGGTTTTTCTTTTTTTAATTGTTAATTTACTGTTGATCAGCAGAACCCAGCATGTGGAGTCTCTGCTGGTTAATTTAGGGATGCTGTGGCTTCAGAAAAATTTTGCCAAAGGAGCTGGAAAAAGACGTTTTGAGAATGGAGGGTACTCTAAGCTCATGAGTTTTCATGAGGATGACTGTAGCAATGACTGAAGTGCCTTTGAAGTAACTGAAGAAGCTGGTTCTACACAATATCACCTACATTGTATTCTTGCCACCCCCAAAGTTTAACCTGAATCATTTCATGAGGAAATAATCAGATCAACCCACATTGAGAGACAGTTTGCAAAACTAGCCTTGGCGTTCCAAAAACGACAATGTCGTTAAAGACCCTTCAAAAAGAAAAAGGCTGAAAAACTCTTCTAGAATAAAGGAGACTAAAGAATTCTGAAGATGACACCTAAATGCAAAATGTGACACTTCATTAGATCCTGGGGGTGATGGGGGACACTGGTAATAAAGGTCTTTTTTTTTTGGTACAGAGAAATTTGAATATGAGCTGTATATTAAATTTTTATTTTATCAATGTTAAGTCTCATGATCATAATAATGGTATTGGGGTTACATAGGAGAAATTTTAAGAGCTGCACACAGAGATATTTCGGGATGAAACGCAATGTTCTCTGTGCCTAAGTCTCCAAATTTTCAGCTAGAACTGTATGTATGTGAGTGGAGTTAGCTACAGAGAGAGTGAGCAAATATTACGGTTCCACCTTAACAACTGGTGACTCTAGGGTGTAGAGTATGTAGCTATTTATTGCTGAGAAATTGCACAGGCTTGACATTTTTCAATTTTGTGTGTGTGTGTGTGTTGTTGTTGTTCTATTCCAGTGGGAGTTTGTGTCAGCTTTTAGGCAGGCCCCACGTCAACAAAACGCCCTTGCCACAGTGAATGCTGGAATGAGGCTCCTTTTCAAAGATGGTACAAACACCATTGAGGAGTTAAGCATCTTCTATGGAGGAGTTGGCCCTACTACAATCAGTGCAAATAAGTCCTGTGAGCAACTTATTGGAAGGTGATTTATAAACATGTACATCCTACCAAATAAAGTTTATTGTTCCTTGAATCGTGACACTTGATGTTGTTACCAAAGGAAGAGACTTATCTCTGTTCTCTATAATATCGTAGCATTTTACAGTAAGTGTACATGATTATCAAAGGCAATATTTTAAGTAAAGGTGAATAGACAAAGATTTTATGTTATGATATTGCTATGTAAGAAAATGGACTTTTAACAGCCCTCATTCATAATTTTTAAATTAATTTTCTAGTAGATGTTGCATACCTGTTTATACTTTACTAACTTGGTTGGGTTTTTCCTTTTTATCTAGGTGCTGGGACGAGGGAATGTTAAGTGAAGCTTGCAGGCTTGTTCTAGATGAAATCAGCCTTCTAGGCTCCACTCCCAGAGGAATGGTGGAATTCAGAAGAACTCTCATGCTCAGTTTCCTCTTCAAATTCTACTTAGATGTGTTGCAGCAGTTAAAGAAGCAGGCAAAGGTGAGTTTGGATGCTCTGAGTAAGAGGGTATGTTTCAGGTGCTGAACACAAGTGCTGTTTTCAAGGAATTTTTTGAGGTCCTTTATGGGATGAAACCCAAAGAGCTCTTCTAATTCAAACAAATTTCCCCAAATCAGTGAAAATTTAGATCTGAAAACCATGCATAAATGTAGGTTAAAAATATATGTTTCATATCAATCAAATATATCTTCACAATTAGGAGTTTCCATTGGTGGCATAGTGCCTAAGACATTTGACAGTTCAAACCTACCAGTCACTCCTTAGAAGGAAGATTGAGCAATCTACTTCCACAGAGATACCACCTTAGAAACCCAAGGAAGGGTCACTATGAGTTGGGATCAACTTGACGACAGTGAATTTGGTTTTGGTTTAATAAAGTCATCTTTATTTCAGGACCCCAGTGGATATCCTGATATCTCACAGAAATTTCTAAGTGCCCTGGAAGACTTTCCTTTGACCATACCTCATGGGATACAGTCATACAAGGTCAGTACATTTTATAACAGAATAGAAGAGCCAAGTGGGATGGCTTTACATTTTAATTTCAATTTGCTAGTGTAGGGTCAGCCTTTAGGAAATGGTCATCTATGTAAACACTTTAAAGAAAGCTATCTATATTAATTTCCTAAGACTGCCATTAACACAAGCTGGGTGGCTTAAAACAACAGAAATTTATAATTTCATGGTTCTGGAAGCTATAAGCCCAAGATCAAGATATTAGCCAGGTTGGTTCTTTCTGAAGAGTGCTGAGGTAGAGTCTGTTACATGCTTCTCTCCTCACTTCTAGTAGTTTCCCCTGATCCTTGGTATTCTTTGATTTGTAGATGGCGTCAATCCACGCTCTGCCTCCATTATCACATCGATGTTTGTGCCCAAATTTCTTCTTATAAGGATACCAACCATTGGGTTAGGACCCACCCTAATCCAATATGACCTCATCTGAATTGGATTATATGTAGACCTATTTCTACAAAAGGTCACAGTCACAGGAACAGTGGTTAGGACTTTAGCGTATATGTTTGGTGGACACAATTCAACACATAACACCATGTGAATGCTGTATAAAAGCAATAATCACTTACACAATACAATGGAATTAAAGTTCCCATTTATAACACCAAAAAAAAAAAAAAAAAACCCAAACTCATTGCCTTCAAGTAGATTCTGACTCACAGCAACCCTACAGGACAGAGTAGAACTGCTCTATAGGGTTCCCAAGGCTGTAAATGTTTACAGGAACAGACTGCCTCATCTTTCTCCCATGGAGCAGCTGATGGATTCAAACCACCAAACTTTCAGTGACCAGCCAAGTGCTTAACCACTGCACCACCAGAGTTCCTTCCCATTTACAATGGGAACCAAAAAAATAAGGGTTTAGTAATAATCTCAACAAGAAATGTAGGACCTACATGAAGAGAACTTTTAAACTCTACTGGTGAACTTCTTTAAAAAAGAAAAAAAAGACTTTAATAAAGGAAAAAATATAACTTGCCTTTGGCTAAGAATACACAACATGTAAAGATATCAAGTTCCTCCTAAATTATTCTATAAATGAAATACATTCCCAATCAAGATACCAATAGCATTGCTCAGAGATCTACCTTTTAAAGTTCATCTGTTGTTGTTGTTACTTGCTGTTGAGTGCATTCTGACTCATGACAACCCTAAGGACAACAACATGAAACGCTCTCCAATCCTACACTATCTTTATGTTCACCGGCAGGTTCCAGTCCATCGTTGACTGTCAGTTCATCACCCTGAGGGTTTCCCTCACATTTGTTGGCCTATGGGGGCTTATCTTCTAGCACTCTGTCAGACAACATTCTGTTGTGATCCATAGGGTTTTCACTGAATAATTTTTGGAAGTAGATTGAAGGCCTTTCTTCCTAATTTATCTTAGTTTGGAAGCTCCAATGAAACCTGCCCGCCAAAGGTGACCCTGATGGTATTTGAAATAGTAATGACCTAAGTTCCCACATTATAACAACATGCAAGCCACCACAACACAATAAACTGGCAGATGCCTGGTGGAAATTTTATCTGAAAGATAAAAATAGATACTTTTGAAAAATAAAAACAGTTATGAGGGGAACTGTTGTTGTTGTTAAGTGCCGTCGAGTCGTTTCCGACTCATAGCAACCCCATGCACAGCAGAACGAAACACTGCCCGGTCCCGCACCAGCCCCACAATCCCTGCTATACTTAAGCCCATCATCGCAGCCACCATGTCAATCCATCTCATTGAAGGCCTCCCCCTCTTTCGTCGACCCTCCACCCTACCAAGCATGACATCCTTCTCCAGGGAATGGTCCCTTCTTACAACATGATGGTAGGTGAGAGGAAGTCCAGCCATTCTTACTTCCAAGGAGCATTCTGGCTGCACTTCCTCCAGGATAGATCTGTTAGTTCTTTTAGCAGTCCATGGTACTTTCAGCATTCCTCGCCAGCACCACAACTCAAAAGCATCAACTCTTCTTCGGTCTTCCTTATTCATTGTCCAGCTCTCACATTCATACCA